CGAGAACTCAGGGGAGCTGGGATCCAGCAGGGCTGTGCTAGGTCTGGATGCCAAACAGTGAAAGGACAGAGAAATGGTGTCAGCTGGATCATGAATCGCAGACCAAAGTTTGGTCTCTGCAACAATTATCCTCAGTGATTAGGGAAAGTAAGGGCAAGACGCTGCGCCCAGCAAAACCGGTGGCTCTGCGCAGCAACGTAGATCAATGCAAGAAACTCAACAAAATGCAAAGTAATAGGCCAATTTCTGCTAAGAATGAATTTGACCTTAGGTTTCTATTTTTACTTTCAGATCTAATTTGAACCACTATGATGTTTACAATTTCCACCTCAGATGCAACCAAGTTCATAGAAAATGCTTTTACTTCAAAAAGCAAAGAAGATGGCAAAGCTGGAAGGCGTTCAGCCTACTGGGTCTGTATCTCACGCGCAGCAATGCAAGACCTTGCCAATCCTGCATATGTCAGACCTCAGCTCAGCAACTATAGAAACACTACTGAAGTATGCACAAAGGAACTGGGAGCTCACAACCTGCCAGACTGGTTTGGAGGGCAAAATTCAGGGCGGGTTCAGATAAGTCCTGCTTCTAGCCAGGTCTGCAGGCAAGCTCAGTGCGTTCAATCAAATTCAGGACAGCAGGGAGTTAATCCCCTCTTTAATCAATCCATTCCTGACCAGCACGTGTGCCAGGAGTGGCAGGAGTCATGCGAGCTTTGATCTTTCTTTGCACTGTGGAATGTGTTTCTCATTTTCCCTTGCACAGATTTGCGAATAATTATTTTTACAAAATTTGTTTCTCTTATTAATATCTCATTTATTATTTCATGTATATTGTAAATCACAGTTTCATTAAACCATTATAAATTACTACAATCTATCTAACCAAAACAACTATAATTTAGCAATTTATTTGAAAACGCACATCATCAAAGATTAGGTGTGCAATAGCATAATTATGTCTTGCCTAAAGCACTGAGTACCTGCTGGTAATACTTGGTACAACTCTTTTACTGTACTAACACAAGACCAATGATGGTAACCTCATTATATATAATTATGCTTCATGTATAAAGTCATATCATATATTAATAATGTTATATGCATATTTGAAATTCATATTCCGAAGAGAAGAAATATAAAGATCTATAAATAGCCATGAACATGAAATGACCTTGAATAGGCTACTAATATTTGTTTTTTATATATATACACACACACATACATACATACACACACACACACAAAATGATCTTGAACAGGCTATTAACTTTTGTAAAATCTATGTATTTTCAAAGAGCACCTGTAAATTGGAAAGAAAGCAAAATGGAGGAGTTCATACTGTGATTCTCAAATCAAATTATCACAGCAGATCATATTGTGATTCTCACCATATAAATTATTTAAGCCTCAAGAGTGGATACATTTTTGCCAGGCTACCAAGGCAATTAGGGCAATCTGGAAGATATGTGGTGACAGTGGCCTCACAGGGTTAATAATCTCTCTTCTGATCATGTACATTGTAAGCAAGCGTCACAAAGGGACCTACAAGTTGGAAAACGAAAACAGCTTTTTCCAGGATGTTGTTCTATTGGAGGCTGAATCAGAACCTCTGTTACTCCTTCACTGATTCAAGAAACTTAATTTTGTATTGCCTAATGGATATTTTTGTACCTTCCTTTCTACTGGAAAATATTTTCACATTATCTTCCTCTTGTTTCTATTCTTTTAAGCTTTTTTCCGTATGTGCTGTAAGCAATTTTACCTTACAAAGTGAAGACATTTGAAAAAAAATAGAACAAACCTGGTGTAAATTAGTAAAGCTCCTATTACTTCAGCAGTGTTTCACCAGCTTAAACAAACTGCTGATCTGTCCCAACAAAGATATTTTGGTTTTACCCTACAACTCTGGGAGTTTCCTTCCTACTGTGCTTCTTTTGCACGTACCAGGTACACCATGCTTAGCAAACAAAACAAAACACAAATGTAATGCGGGATCAGTGGAGACATGAAACTGGCTTTCCACAAAATTAAATTCAAATTCACATAAAAATTAATCCACACCTTCCCAATGCCCGCAAGGCGTTGGCTGTAATGCTGTAACGCTCATTTGCAAATCCTGCACAAATCTAGGGTTTATAAAACTTGATGATGTACTTTTCCTGCAGAAAACCACATCACTCCTGGTAGCCACACTGCATTAAGGCTACCCATTCAAGCCCTTTCACTAGAGGGGAGAGGGAAAAGACACAGCAAACTTTGTCTTCAAACAGAGTTTGCCTGCGCCAAAACTTTTTCAGGACATGCCTAAGACTGTGCTATACAACTGGTCAGCGGTGGTGTGACGCACCAACAGCTCTGCTCATTCGATTTTCCTTCTCACAGAGCTAGGAGAGTCTGGGGTGCCCAGCGGGGTTCCGCAGTGTGCTAGCATGACCCCTCTACTCTCCTGCACGGTGCCATGTCTGCTCTGCAGTCTGGCTCTGCAGAGTTACAGAGCACGCTTTAAGCCCAGCGCCCAGGCTTAGGTGACTTGCAGCTTTGCCTGTCATCTCCACTGTGCTGCCTCGTACATCACCATTACAAAAGCACAGCTGACCTGGAGCTCTCGCTGCCTGTCCTCTTCAGGCTGTTGGGGTTGCGGATGAGTTTGTCCAGCATGTTGACGATCTGTCCAAATTTAGGCCTGTCACTGCGTTCCTTCTGCCAGCAGTCTAACATCAGCTGATGGAGAGCAATGGGGCAGTCCATCGGGGGTGGCAGCCGATACCCTTCTTCAATGGCTTTAATAACCTATAAATGGCACAATTAGGAAGACATTAGAGAACATCAGACACTACTCACATCTACCAGCTGAGTATCATTTATCCTAGGGCGATCCAAAGTATGGAAACAAATTCACAATTAAGTGAAACAACACGGAAAATTGCACTCAGACTCAGGCAGTTGGTGGTCTCATAACTGTCATTTCTCCTCGGCGATTCAAAACTAAAAGGGTACAGCATTCAAAGCAGACATCAGATACAGCAGGGCAATGTATCACAAAACAGCACATGGGATACAGGGATGACAAAATAGCCTAGGTTAGAATTAAGCAACTATCCTTGTTGGACAGAGGGTTGGAGAAGCAACAGCTCTACAGCAAATCTTTAATATCTGTCAGTTTTGGGTGCGGTATGTTGAAAATGAAATTTTCCCCATCATTTTAGGGTACAGCAGATCGCCCCCTCCTCTCTCTCTTCTTGGGCTAGCTCATCTCTGTCAGTAATACAGGCCTTTTAGAGAACCTGTTCTCTCACCACTGTGTGTTCTGAACCAAGAAATGCAGAGGTGGGAACCCTTTTGCGCAGCTTTATCAAGAAAGTTACAGAAGTCCGACACAGCAGCTTAAGTATGCCTTTCATATTTAATAGAAACCAGAAAAACTCACAAGCTGAAGTAATTTCAAACCCTCCAAAAAGGCCTCCAGAGCTCAGTACTCTGATGGTTTCTTAGCTCTCTCAGGAGAATGGGACGTAACCAGGACTCAGTTCTGATATGACAGGGACATGACCCAGAAGCCTTCAGATCTTTATTAATCGATATGACTTTGCCGGCAGGATTCACCATGAGACTAGAGAACAGGAGTGCACATAGACTGAATTGCGCTAAACTCCCTCCTTCTGGTCTTGTCCAATTAGTGGCTAAAATCCACTGGGAAGACAGGGCGAAGGATATGCTTGCACTATTAGCAGCTATTCAGTGACCACAAACAAAGTAGCTCTCACTACTCCAGAAAGTATGAAGGTCCTTTTGATTTCTCTTGATTCAACAGACACTGAGAATAATTTGAAATCCGCTTCTGTCTTGTGAAAAGCACTGCTCTCACCATCATTAAGGAGAAAAAAAAGTTATGTCTATGCCATGTACTAAAAAGAGGATGCAAAGACAGTAATATTGGCTTTCACTGTCCAGTTCAAGCCAGCTTTTCGACATGGTCTAGCTCTGCACGTTAGCGGTGTATACCAGCCTAATATGCCAGCTCTGCGTTTGTTGCATCGAGCTCCACTGTGCTGTGTAGACATGCCTGATATAACTGAGACACATCTGGTGTTTTATTTTCTTGCTAAGTCTTGATGACTTCCTGTTAGCAAAGGAGGGCAAGATTGGGTGCCAGAAGAGACATTTCACATCAGAAGGAAATTAAAATTATATCCCCCGTTTAGATTAAATGCCATCCACTTCTAGACACTCTTTGAAAATGTTCAGCTCTACATAAGAAAGCAGATGACTTGTAAAATGACTTAACCACTCCCATGACCATATATTCAGATTAACATTTTCTTCTTCCTTTATATGTTTGTAAATCCCCTGGGAAAAGAATTATGGATAATCTATGCCTCATTTTCACTGGGATTTTTTTTTCATTTAATAAAAATTCTATTAGCAAAAGCTCTTATTAGCATTATTATTAAATACTCTTCTGGAATAGCAGCCATTGTGCATACTCCCTCTTGGAATACACTGAAGTAGTCCAGATGGTATGGTTAAACAGGACATGCATAATTTAAGAATGGTCATTTAGGAAAGCTGCTTTTTAATGTCCTCGGGGGGCAGCTATGCAATTGTCGCAAGGATGCTCTGACTGATAATCAGAATTGGATTTCATATGTGTTGTTTTAGATAACCTACAAGAAATAAAATGATCTGGAAGAATTACAAGCATACTGGGGCTTGAAGAATTAACTACTAATAGGAAGCCCTATTAAATTCAAGTGTTTTTTCTTAAAGACTTTCAATAAAGTTGAGATTTAATATCAACATTCAAATCTTCCCTCTCTTGACAGTATTACGATCTGACAGTTTAAATATATCTGTTTTCCTTTCCTCCATTCTTCTTTCTTACTTTAATTGCTTATAATATTTTTCCTAAAATTAAAAAAAAAAAAAGAATTAAAAAAAGAAAGGAAAAAAGATACATGCACAAGTTATAGACTCTAACTTGTGAATCCCCTATTCCCTGACCACAGACCAAGCTGGAAGTATTCAAGGAAGTCTTAGTTCCAGAGAGGTTCCCTGAGAAAACAGGAATCTACCACCCATGATAACCTTTTTAAAACCTGGAGTAAATGTCTTATAACCATGTAGCAATTGACACAGAAGCACATCAGCAGACATCTAAGGACAAAGATAAAGGCGTGAGGGGAAAGGGAGAGAAAAGGAAGAGGAAGCTCAGAAGGAGACTCACATCTTGATTGGACATATCCCAGTAAGGTCTTTCTCCGTAGGACATCACTTCCCACATGACGATGCCATAGCTCCACACATCACTAGCCGATGTAAATTTACGGTAGGCAATTGCCTCTGGTGCAGTCCACCTGATAGGGATCTTGCCACCCTGTCACAAATAAAAGAAACCACAGGCTAGTGAGTCACTGACCCAGTAACGTGCATGGCTGACACTGTTCTACACTGCCATTAAAAATATAAAATGGTTTTCTGCATGCAATTCCAGAATCATCCTTAAAAAGGCATCCACTTTCTCTCTTTCTTGCCATAAAACTGTCAGATCCAACCAGGAGGCAATGCTGCCCATCTGTTTTCTTTAGTCACAAGGAGACGAAGCAGTAAATTGTTAAATGTATTTTTATCGGCCCTCTAAGAGATCTCTGCTTAGGGCTATGCTGAAGCATGAGAACAAGCCAGGGGTTTTACAAAGTATATATTAGAGATTTAGTTGACAAAACAAATAAGTACATGCTGTTAATTACTATTTCCTTGCTTGCCTGTCTGACCTGTTTGGCCTGTTTCAGAAAAATGGGATTATAAACGTTTTGCTTTTCAAAAAGGTAAAATAGAGAGAGGATGAACTGGGAAGGATTTATGAATACTGTCGTGTTTCCCATGGGCAATATCCCAACTCCTGCCAGAGATGTGAGATGGCAAGCAAGCCTCTGGGCTCTCCCAGTCCCTGTGGGAGAGTTCAACACCAAACCACGGTACAAGGCTGCTTTTGATACCTGTTGGAGAGAGCTGCCTCTTGTTACAATACTTCTTTTTAAACATATAAAAACACTTGGGCATCTGATTTGGGCCACTGACGTCCTGCGCTGTTTTAAAAGGAACTCACTCCATCCTGTTTATCTGATTTTCCCTTAGCTGAGTGATTCCAGGCCAGAGATTTCTCCTTTTGTTTATGCTAATACGCAAGGTGTTTTTAATTGAGCTTTTGGTTTCCTGTAGTTCCATCTGGGGAACGACTTAAGCTGAACAAAGGTTTTAGGGTTTTTTCATTTGCTTTTATGCTTTTTTGATTAAGTTTATTTTGGTAGGTTTTTTCTCAGCAATCTTCTAGATAGTTTTTATCCATAACTGAGTGCAGCATGTGCATACTTAATGGTTTATTGTTCTAATATCTCTCTCAAGTGTTTAATATGGACCTGTTCCAAAGCCAAGTGAAATCAAAAGGGATCCTTCTGGCTTCTTTGGCCTTTGCATCAGGCCCTTTGTGAATCAGGCTGTAGCAGTATATGCCTTGTGTGGCTATAAGATGCTTTCACTTTAATGAGTTACACTACTAACGGGGAGCAGAACACATCATACTCTTAAAAAAGGATGCTTTAAAAATTGCATTCTGTTGCATCGTCTCTGGTTATGAAAAAGCTCTATTCCTCCTTTCAGACACAGATGCATGGACATTGTTTTTACATGGTTGTCATTCTAAAAATTGTCAATAAGCTTTTTTTATTTAGCTGCTCGAGTACAGTGGAGTTCATCCAAATTTTCCTGATCCTTCCTTACCGATACTAAATGAGGACAATGCACTGTAATGCAAATGTCATTGATTCCCTGTAGTTTACTCTAGAGAGCAAACATAATACTATATCTCCACTCACTAAATTCAAAGGGAGGCTTTTCAGTCATTTCTGTCTTGCCCTTGTGTGTTTGTCTAAACTTGGATTTCCCTGAATGCAGCTTTTCAGACCTTTGCTTCTGTTTCTTCCACTTTCCACCCTTATGAGTGAGAAATACCAAGGCTGGCCAGCATTTAAGACTACATGAGTCTATCCTTCCTAGTAATGAACTGTGAATCCATTAAAGGATGAGTGTTGGGATTACACTGCAAAATCTGAGTGCTGCAAACAAACTCTGCACCAGGGAGAACAGATGGAGAATGGCAGATATTTAAAAACGAAGAAATTAAGCAATTAAAAAAGGAGACTTTATAAACTCTGACTTTTTTTTCTTCGTGCGCATGTTAATTACAGAGGCATTGGTACAAAGGCTGGTAATGGTTGGGATGTTGTTTTGTGGCCAGAAGTACTTGCATTAGTACTATTCCACATGCAGCATATTAAAATGGCTTTAGCGAAATTAGTTAACAGTGGGATGCTGAAATATAGATAAAATGGGAAAGAAACAAAAAATGGGAATGCAGGCTTCACACTTTTCCCCGTCCAAATTATTTAGGTCAAATTTATGACTAGCTTTGTGATGGGCAAAAGTGGATTTATCTTTTTTTTTTTGGTGGCATATCTACACTTGCTGAATCAAACCTCAGTGGGACTAGCCACCTGCAAATAATTATGCATGTCTGTAGATATCAGATTCCTGTTATGCATTCTAGCACTCTGAAGGAACCAGAGGAATATATGGGTCACAGCCTCAGAGGAGAAATACTGATGTAGGCACTGATGTAGCAATAACACTACATCAATTTATACTAGCTATGGACTCTGGGCCAATGTTTATTTTTAGGTTGTGATATAGGTTTTCACTTATGACTGAGATTATTTTAAAACAAACCATTGTCACCTCCCACACAGTCAGACAAAACCAGTATGTAGGCAAGAAAACCCACTGGACATTTTCTTTCCCTCCTTACCCGTGTGGTATAAGCTGCTTCAGGGTCATCTTCCAGGACACGGGACATGCCGAAGTCAGACACTTTGCAGACCAAGTTGCTGTTGACCAGTATGTTTCGAGCAGCTAAATCCCGATGCACATAGCTCATGTCAGACAGATACTTCATTCCTGAGCCAATGCCACGAAGCATCCCCACCAACTGGATGACTGTAAATCTGCCATCATTCTTCTGCATATGGGGAAAGGAAGAAAATCACAGAGCATTAAGCTAAAAGCTACATTATTGCCATTGCTCAAATTGGCAAAAAGCGTATCTCTGGATTCCCATCTTCTCTCAAATAAAATTCAATGTTATTTCCTCACTCTCCTGACTAGTGTCTATAACTCACCAGTAAAGTACAAACCCAGAGGTTCTGTCACAGCTTCCAGTGATGCAGTACCCAGTTTGGTTTTAATGGGTCTATAGCATTGTGATGCTTTCAAAAATGGAGCAAATCAGAACTGTTCCCATTAAACATGGGTTATTTAAGACCCTGCTACTTTAAACATTACATTTATTCTATATTCTTCCACTTTACATTTATTCTGGTTTTCTATAGGAGCAACACCAGAAAACAGAATTTCCCAAGTACAAACATAATTTCTTTAAAAATGCTGAATTTTCAGTATCGTTCTGAAAAAAAGAACCAGAATGAAAACCAGAAAATGTTTCCCAGTATAAAATCTCCTCAGCTTATTATGAAGAAATCACCTACCCTGAGGAAGGCATCCAAGGAGCCATTCTCCATGTACTCAGTTATGATCATTACTGGTTTACCTAGAGTTCGCAGAAAGAAAAACACAATTCCTTGATGAACACTGATGTTAATGGGATAAAGATGGGTTGCACATGATTTTACCGCCAAGACACCTGGCTTACACAATCTAATTTAATTTGAAAAGCACCAAGCTTATGCCTCAGCTGTGGGGAGCAAGAGAAGAAATACTATAGGACAGAAACATTTAAAGGGCCCCATCTGGAAGGTTAACCCTTTGTCTGACTCATTGACAAGGTCTTTAACTAAAGTGGCTCCTGTTCTCTAAGGAATATATGAATTGATAATTGAGAGCTAAGACACAAAGATCTGTTCAAACTTGACAAAAATCTTCAGTGTAATTAAATTGCTTGCAGACTAGAAAGCCTTCCTCTTTCAAAATGGAATTTATGAATGCTTTGGTCTCTCTGGCTCTTTCGAAAGATCAACGCTTTAGGCGAGTTAGAAGCTGTCAGCAGCTACAAGGTATTCCAAGACAACTGGATTCAAGAATGCAAAATACAAGCTGTTCCTCTCAACTTTCTCTGTCCCAAATTTGTATCCCGTGTCTCTCGTTATTTATAAATGAGCCAAAGCCATTTGCCTCATGAAGTCAACCACAGGATAAATGATTCAATGAATTGTGTCACATGTGGGGCATAGTGCTTCAGCAGCACTCAGCTTTCCATGTTTCAATACAGACAGCCAAGCTGGGCAATCTGAAGAGAAATGTAATGTAAAGTTAGTGACATGGGGATGCTTTCTAGGCACTCTCCTGCCTAAACCAACAGCAAATACATAAATAATGCTTGATGTTGTCTTTAAGAGCTTTACAAAGTCATATGACGCTGAAACTGAAAACATTTAGGTACATACAAGTAACACTAATTATTTCACAGGGTTAAATCATGCTGGATATTCAGCAGCTAGATATTCGCAGAAATGGGTCCAATATCATCTCCACTCTAAAAGCGAGCAATGGGAGATGAGAGGCGTGACTTATCAAAGGTTGAATGGCAAAAGCCTGGTCCCAAGATGAGCACTGTTAAGCCCACCTGAAGTCAAGGGAGCATCTGTCGATCAGCGCCAGGCTGGCATGGCAACCCTTCCTCCCAGTTTTGCTTTAGCTACAGGAACTATCGAGTTTTTTCCCAAATAAAAGAGTGTCCAAGAGAAACTCTGCTTTTGTACTTTCTGGAGCAGCTCTGAATAAGGGAACATTATGAGGAAAGAAGGGTTCAATGGACACGTCACCTAGACTGTAGATAGCTCAATCCTGTCTTGGCATCAGAGGTATCAGAACTACTCAACTTTTCCTTGCTTCTGTCACCAGCAAGTATCTGCTCCAGAACAACCAGCTATGAAAATTACTCTCCCATGAAATGTTGCAGCATTGAAAGTTCCCCTAATCATTTCTACCTCAGTGCGTTTTTCACAAAGATGCTTTTCTCTTCCTTTGTCAGGAATTCCTGTTTTTGAAGTAACCTTTTTTTTTTAATTAGAAAACAATATGCTATAAGGACTGACTGTGCGGAAAATTTTACATCATTTCACTTAGGCCAACGTATGTGCGATATATCACTTATTTCACTCATCATTACTTATTTCACCTTTTCAGTCCCAACCTATCCTTTGCAGGCCTTTTACTACTCCTGCTTCTCCTTTCCTTCCCAACTGATATCAAAACTCTTAATGTTTTGGTCCCATGCAAACTGGCATGCCTGTGAAATGCCAGTCTGGCAGCTGAACCCTTTCTGATTTACATGAACGCAGCAGAGAAGCGATGGTATTGCATAAAGCAAACTGCTTTGGATGAAGGGCTTAGTGACCTTGGCTGAGGACTTGCACCCTTAAGGAAAGGAACGTGATAAAACATCATTCTCCCTCTAATTCAATTTTGCAAGCATTCTTTGGTAGAAAGAGAAGAAACTCCAACCAAATCTGCATATGTCACTGTTTCATTTATCCTTTGCAACTGTGACCGGAACCCTTCCACTGAACAAATACAGCTAAATGAGTTTTAATTAACCTCCCTCAATCAAAAGATACTATGTCAACGTAGAAAGGAAGAAAGGGAGACTCTTTCAGTGCATTAACATGCAATTTCATTACTCAGGCACTTCTTTAGCAGGGGAGGGGGATAGAGAGAGGAGAAGTTACCATCAGTGAGTCAATAATTAAAGTACTTGACTAGCAGCCAATAATGTATTCATGGTTTTTTGCTGCCTCTCTCAACCCCCATCTACACCACTATTTATCTCACATTTTAATTTTCAGTTTATTAAATGCATTCATTTATCACAGCATTCAGAAAACCTATGGAGAAATTGAGATAAACGTCTTCTTAAGTAGCCCTGTTTACCAAACACACCAGCTTTGAGGTAACCAAGCTGGCTTGCTGTGGAAGCATCACTTACTGCGAGTCAGACAATGAAACATTCTCGGGTCAGGCTACCACCTCCTCGGTGAAAATTTCAAATAATTTTAATTCAGTGACAACTGCATTATGCAAATGCATACGGTCATTTATAACTGCTAGAGCTGTAATAGCTGTAATAGAGGTTGCCAGCCTCGGTGGGATTTCAACACAATGATTCCCCCTGTTGCCTTTCTTTTACAGAGGTGCTAGAAGAATCACTGTCTGTAGCAAACACTGTGGCCTGACCACAAACACCCCCCCTTTGTTACAACAACAACAAAAAAGAGAAAGAGGGAATCAGACCTGCAAATTTTAAACAGGGTATTATCTTTTAATTTCAGTTTTGAGGGAGGCCCTCAGTAAACAATGGTCAAAATTAGTCCAAACCCCTATTTTCCCTAGCCAAATTTGTCTTGAAAAGCAAACAGCAACACACTGTATGAGCCGTTTTCAACAACTGTGAGAGAAGGCAGACTAGGAGAGGGAAACACAACTGAGTCAGGGTAAGATTTCCAGAAACACAAGTGATAGAGTAAGCATCCAGCTCCCACCGACATTCAAGAGGGACAGGGTTCTTCAGTGGTATTGATGGCTTTGACAACCCTCTATGGGAGACACTTTGTTCTTCTAGTAGTATTTTACTTTTTAACTTTTCATCCATATCTAATTTTAATTCCTTACACTATTACCCTGCGTTCAAGTTCATCATGCACACCATCAGCTGCAGAAGGTAAGCTTCACAAATCCCATCCTTTAACAGCAGCTCTCAAGATCACTGTCTGCTTTCTTTGCCACCGTAAGCATGAACCCCTACATCCAAAGGGTCTTTTAGGATTAGTGACCAGTTCCAGGTTTTGCCAACATGCCACCTAGGGCAGTTGGAGTAGGGACAATAACTACACCATCGCAGTGGCACCTTATCAAGTCAGATCCAAGCACATCTGTCTCACAGGTGTATTTTCAGTTCTAGCCTACAAACAGCATCCAGCAAGTGCTGTCATCCTCTTTCTAAGGCAGGGTTCATGGCACAGTGAATGCTAACAGACTTAAAAAAAAAAACCAAACCAAACAAACAAAAAGATCGGCCAGGTAAATTCTGCAGAGTGAAATTATCACACCTGTAAATCAGAGAAAACAAATAAGCAAGTTTCACACTAAAATAGCCTACTTTATTTCAAAGGCTTGCTCCTTACATCTGTGCTTTGTATCTTAAACATATGATTCTGTAGTTTTTGTTTTGGTATTTTTCCCCCAACGATTTTAAATTCTTTGCTCACCATCTGCTTTTGCCTATCCTGTAACAATCAGCTCAGTCTAGCAAAGAGCGAAAGATGCCTGCTTGGCATAGCAAGAAGGGGGAAAAAAAAAGCCAACCCCTGCAGTATTAATTCCCCCTACAAAATCTTGTACAAGCTGCCTACAGATAGAGTATCAGTTGAAACCATAAACCCATTTATAGCTGACAACAAGATTAATGACTTGTCCTGCACTGATTTCCTCCTATTAGCTATCAGTGGATCTGTTCCATCTGTCATTTCACAGGAAAGAGGGTAAAAAGAAAAAAAAACCAGCACACACCACCACAGACTTAATTTCTCAGTGACTTCCAAATTGGCCCTGTCATGAAAATGACCTACTTACATTTAGTAACTACACCTTCCAAGTGGATGATATTGGGGTGGTCAAATTGTCCCATGATGCTGGCCTCGCTCAGGAAGTCTCTCCTTTGTTTATCAGTGTAACCAGCTTTTAGAGTCTTGATAGCAACACAGATCTCTCTTTTTCCTGGTACTTTGAGACGTCCACTGCATACTTCACCAAATTCCCCTTATGGAAAAAGGCACAAGAATCCATGGTCATGAACACGAAGCACGCACTTGTATTGTCAAACTGTTACGTCCGTTCATTTGGGGGAACTGTCATACAAAAATCATAGGATCCCATGTTTCCTAAAAGCAAATTTAAAACTGTATTTACAGAAAAAAAGTTCTGGCACTTACCCACACCAATAACTTTTTCAATCTTTATGCAGGAGGCATCAATTTCTTTGGCAAATTCCCTCACAGCTTGGTTTGGATCCTCATATGTAAAAGGATCCACATATGTTCTAACACCTGCAAGGCAGAAATGTTTTATTTGAAGTCACTGATCTACATGCTGCTGAACACAGAACATATGAGACTGAAGCCTTAATGATATACAACAGCAAAGGCAGTGTACAATAAAAATGTACTGTAAGCCAGGAATGACTGATGAAGGAAGGAAGGACTTCATGTATTTTTCCCCCGATGTGATTTTTTTTAATGTAAACATTTAATATTTCCCAATATTGATGTAAGGAATCAGGCTTTTGCCAATAAATGAGCTTCACAAATCACTGCCATCACTAGCAGGCCAATAGCCTGTCTATGGACCTGTGAGACTAAAACACATCACATTTCCCTTTTGGGAGCCAAGAAATTCTGAGCTCAGGTCCTAGGTTTGGTACCTGGATGACTGAGATGGAAGTAACAGTAGGATTCAGTCCTAGAAAAAAGGTAGCAAAGCTCACATTTTCTTTCCTGCAGGATTGCCTCCGGCCCATCCAGAAACTGCCTTAGCAGAATATTGTGGGGAAAAATCACGCTATCACTAGCCAAGAAGAGATGTCTTTCAGTGGAATGGAACAATGGAAAAAATTGATGAACCTTTCTGCTGTCTGTCTCCTCAACAATTTTACCCAGATACTTCTATTTTCCCTGTTACTAAAGTGCGTAGTTTTGAAGGAGGATGTTTGCAAGAGAGGAAAACAGAAACATATTCATCTCAAGAGGAATGTCATCCCTTTTATCCCTAGCATCAGAACATGGCACATGTTTTACGAACTGAATCAAAAAACCCAAGCACCCCTGCCTTTTACCTTGGTTCAAATGTTTCTCCTCATCTGCTTCTTGCTTAGCCTTACTGTACTTACTGCGCCTGTCAGAACAAAAAAGAGCATTACAGTTCAAAATAAGTATCCTTCGAGACAGGCTCAGTCTTCTTGACCTGCTGAGACTTGAGCTGTTTGCACCTGCCACAGCCTGTGCTCAGCTCCCTACAACAGCCCATGACACAACACACACGTACCAGCAGGGTAGGAGACTCCTCTCCTCAAACTGCTCTAAGTGTTATTGGCATCAACAAAGCATCAAGGGAAACACAAATCTCCGTGTTTGCATCTCGGCATTTAAAGAAAGAAAAGAAAGCTTGTGTTTCGGCTACTTTTTCTTCAAAGGTATTTTTGCAATTCTGTGCAAAAAAGGGTCAAATTGCTTTTTAGCCCTATCATATATGGATTTAAATGCTACAACAGAGGTGTTTTGGTCAATTGATTTTCAAACATAATTAGGCAAATGCCAATACCAACACACTTATTTAACTGCAAATTTTAAACTGGAAACAGTCTAGTAACATAGAAATCAGGATGGCAGCAAAAAAAAACCCCTCACCACCAAAAATGCAGATCCCAAGGATTTTATTTATTCTTTTAATCATTGTATAATTGAAGGGGGCAAAGAATTCCTGATGGCAGAGGTCCTCTACTAACCCTCTGAGTTGGAGACAATAATGTAGTGTAGTAAGTAAGTTCTGTAGTTCTACAGATTACTATTTCTACACCCACGCACATGATACTGTATCCAGTTATGTATTTAATTAGTTCAGCTTTAAACTTCAATGGATAAGTGGCGTTAAGAAAAGTTAATACAAGAGGTTAGTCTTTTAGGGAAGATATTGAGGAGTCAGCTCAGCCAAATGTGTACTGGGATTTGAAGTTCCCCCCATCTAATGGTATGTAGATGTAGAGATTTGAGTTGGGGTTTTATCCATCATTCACCGAAAGTTCAGAACCAGGCGTAGACAGAACAGACACTGCCGAAGAGAACGGCTTATTGTTGCTTACTCCTCAGTTTGTCTGTTCCTATGGACAGTCTCCCAGACTGTCAGACCCACGTTAGCTAACTGGCAAGAGTCTGGGCTGATGTGCAGAAGAAGGAAGGCAGAAGGTGAAACCAAACCTGGAGAACAGGAGGCAAGACTGGCACTGCCTGCGATGTGCAACCTGCTGCCTGGAGTCGGGCAGGAGACGACCAGGCCTGCCAGGGACACTGGGGTGAGACTGGGTTAAAAGTCTGAAAACGGTGAATGGGTAGAGGAGGAAAACAGGAGTGGGTGAGAGAAAGACCTATCAAGAGACGTGAGTTAAAAAGGGTCAAAAACTCACAGGTAACAGGAAGAAAACACATGACTGAGAACCTCGCTTTGCAGCAAATCTTCCTGAGTCTCACCATTCCCCTCCCGTCAGCAAAACCCTTCTGCCCATTAGCAAAAAGCATCTCACTTTCCACTCTGCGCCTGGCCTGCGGGGAATGGCAGCTTCCCATCACTGTCAGCTGAAAGGCCATTTCCCAGCCTTTGTCTCTGCAGTCTTTTCGTGCTGGGTGTTAAACACACTATGCCAATAATAAAAACTATAAATTAACCATGAAACAGAAGGAAAAAAAAAAATAATCCCGTTTGACATGTGAAGACTACCTGATCTTTGAACCAAGCCTCACAGCTCCCAACAACATCAACAGGACTTGTGTTCAGACATAAAAAGCAGGTACACATCCAACCATAAACGGTTGGGAGCCTCTTTTCTTGATGAAAGTCAATTAAACACAAATGGCTCCAAATCACAAGAAGAGCATTATTAAAAACCACACTGGATCCAAACATCAAGTTAAACCATTTATTTGCCTGAGGACTTACAGCACTGGCATAACAGAGCTGAGCTAAATAAAAGGACTATGTTCTGCTCCCAGGTACTGAACTGAGCAAGAAGGAAGAGGCTGCACAAATCTCTCCCAGTGCCATACGGAACTAAGTCTGCTAAGCGGATTGCAGAGATGGTTTCAGGTATTATACAACTTCTCTCAGAGGAAAGGAAAAAAGGAAGGGGAAAAAAAAAAGAGATTCTGCATTTTAAGCAGGACCCCTTCAAATTCATTTCATTAATGTTCAGGCACAGATGGGAAATATGAAACACAAACAGGCTTTGCATGAAAGCATTTTAGTAAGAAAAAATGTTCTTTATCTTATTTTTAAAAAGTACAAGCACCCTAACAACAGATTAAAAAACATAACCTTCCCCCACTAAAAGCCAAAGACATGCAAAAAGCAAAGAGAAACAAAGGGATTACTGCTCAAGCAATATAATTGTAGCTTATTAACTTTAAATAATACCTTCCAAACTAACTACCTACTTCCACTTCTCCTTGGGTCACCTGTTGACCTCTCCTGCTTGGCTCGGGGCACGACACTCCTGTCTGCCATTGTCCCCAAGAGCAGCCCGGGCCCCGCGCCATGGGCCCCGCGGGGCTGGAGCTCAGCTCACCTGAGTGGCAGAAGGAAGCCTTTGTCGCAGATTTGAACCCCGTAATTACAGGGATTTTGGCGGTGGTGATTAAATAGCCGGCATTCAGGAAAAGAACACAGAAGCTTTCAGAAACTGCGGGGGTCAGGGACACCGGCAGATCTACAGGTGGGGGCTGGCGACGAAGAGGAGGTAGCAACGGAGGGTATTAGCACGCATTGAGGTGAAACAGCACGGGCCCGGCGCCGCACCGCTGCTCCCACCTCCCCTTCCCCAAACAAAAGAGGGGCTGCAGTGCGCAGGCACCAGGCTGGCGGAGCACGCTGATCCAACACCATCAGCAAAAGGTGGGCAAACACGTTCAGCTTTTTACAGAGCAGAAGATAAACCAATCTATCCATCGGAAGAATTTCTGACAGAAACTTTTAGATGACCAGAGGATTCTGTAGGGCCGACTTGCTCCACCCAAGCCCTTTTAGAAAGTGGCTCTTTCTATTTTACACTTTCCCAAATCCTTTACAACTCTATTTGAGATATTCTAATTTCACTCAGCATTCCTCCTCCTGCACTCTGCTCTATGGATATGCTCATCTTAACCTCAGTAAGTTTAAACTAACATTTAGGCAGATTAGTTCTCATGTTAACACAAATGCCGTGGTCGCAGGACAGAACCAAACAGCTTGAGCTGCCTGAAGGCAAAGTCCTTTGACAAATTCTGTTGTAAAGATGAATTTTGGGATTTGAGCAATGACTTGAAAAAACGTAATGCTAAATTAGCAGTAATAACCCAGGGTTCAAAAGTGGGCACCTACAGCATATGCCCAGTTCCCACATTTGGCTCACGGATGCAGAGAGGCCATGTCTGCAGGCCAAAGCGCGGTTTTGATTGTACAAATACGACTTTTAGGTCATGGCTAGATTACAAAACCTCCTCATGGGGACTGTATGGACAGAAAAGCTTTTTCTCATCTGAAGCCATTTTGGAACAAAGTATAATTATTTTGCTATTAAGTTCTGCTGGTGTAGGAACATCAAGAAATATCCCCAAAGCCCACACCTCTAAATGACATTGGTAAAGTGGTTAAAATCATTAGAGTAATAGTGAATATTAAAGTAGATTCTGTTTATTGAGAGCTACTTCCAGCTACTGGAGAGCTGTGTATTGAGGAAGGCTATTAATTAGCAAGGCACCATGCATTAGTATGCACAGAGCAGTTTCACTGTCCTAGTATTTCATTCATCTTGCTACATCTTTCCCCTTCTACGGCCTCTCTGAGACCTACCAGTGCAGAGCTACGGGACGTCTCTGAACCCATGGCCACCAGGATACTTTTACCTCCATTCCCACTAGTGCTTGGACCAGCCTTTTGTCCCTACTGTCCACCTGCTCTTTGTCTTGTCTTTATCCTTGAACACTTGTGGGCAGAGATAACTGAACAGACAGCCTGAGCAGTGAGAAGACCTGCCTGAGTGTGCATCCACATCAGCGAGTCTGTCAGCTACCTGGCTCCAGGCAGCCTTTCCTTTGACAGCTTTATGGCCAATACTAAAGAGAATCAATACGAGGGCAAGGGGTTGACATTTCATTTTCTAAAAAGTGATCCATTGAGGGCCAATCACCAAGCAGTGTTTATCAGCCTTGGGAAGTGACATTTTTTTATAGGGGAGGAGGAGAAGGAATCATCTCAAAGCAGCTCGACAGGCTCAATTCTCCAAGGTGGCGACTCATAATTAGAAATCCAATGTATCCTGCTATCAATCCTGCCTTAAATAATAAAGTGATCAATAAAAGCGGAGAGGAGATTAAGTCATCAAGCTCAGCGATACTATTTTCTGTTGCAATAGCTTTTAATAAACCTGTCTCTCTACATTACATTTTCATATGTTCTGCTCTTCTTTCTTCTTGCCAGCATGGAGGCTTTGAGTTGAACACCCACAGAAAGCTATAACAATGCATGTCTACTTTCTAGATATTACAAACACAATGATTTAACTGCCCTTTAAGACAATTTAAAGTAAGAGGGCAAATCAAGAGGAATTTGTACACGTTTATGGTTGATGCCATTAAACTGATCAACAGAGACTGACAAAATGTGCATCCCTCAGATCCGAGGCTTCAGATGCAGTAATGATACATCCAGTTTTATCTCAGAATTACACTGAAGCAAAATCATGCTGACCTTTTTAAATGAGACTGAACACAAAGATGAAGACAGAAACACTCACGTTGTGTTTCTGCTACCCTGTCCTCCCATTCGCAGGATTGTTCCTGATGCCTGAGTTGAATTTGCGAAAATGAACAAGTACTTGGTAGAAGATTACAGTCCTACTCTGATGAAATAACCATCAATCCAGTCTGCTGTGTTACTGCACATGATGCTGAGTGACTGTGGCTTCTGTTTTACAGTCATATCCACTCACACTGGAAGGACCAACCCAAAAGACTAATGCAGACTTATACAGACTAATACAAAAATCACAAGCATAGCAGTCTGATGGCTTAGTTCACAACAGTGCAGTTGTTTATTCCCTGCCTATCAGGAATCAGTCCAAGAAAATCTACTGTACCCATACCCATTAAACTTAACTCCAAATTACACTAACCACAAATCTCTAGCTGGCTTGCTTCTCAATGCCAGTTATTGGAATCAGCTTTGCATTTGAAGGGCAAATAGAGCTGGAACTATTGCCATTACATCACATGCTGCTTCATACTAATGTTGAGAAGATCAAAGCTACATGGGAGAAGGCTTGTAATGCAAATGCACTGTTTATGATGCTAATCAAAGAATTTAGCTTTGTTTGGAGGAGACAAAAAGCTCCCTCATGAAAGAGAGGGGGGGAGAGAGAAGCTTAAGTTCTTACCTCCTGCTGATGACAAAGGCTGCAATGAGAATGACCACAAGAACAACACTGCCAGCCACTGAAACAAGAAGCACTGTGGGATTGGTACCATCGCCAATGATGGGGGAAGGAACTGGAAAGAGAAAAGGGAGCATTAGTGTCAGACACCCTCAAAAAATCAACCTAGGTAGCACTCAATGAGGCTTTCTGGCTTGTGAAGGCAGTTTAGAGTAGCACTCAAATCTACTTTCAGGCCTTTATTATATAGTCATTTGACACAAATTTCCAACAGGGCCCTAATTAGCTGAAGACATGATGTTTGATAATGATTTGGGGAACTTCAGTTCACTGGGAACAAGGACTCTCTCTCCTTCTCCCCTTCAGTGTTGCTCAGAGGGTATAATGGCTATTTTTTTTGCCTTTCTAATTGCTTTCCACTCTTCTTTCCTCCTCCTTTTTCTCTCAGTGGGGCCAAATGATCACTCCCCAACTGACACAAAGAGAATAAGTTATTTTAAAATGCCTTCCCTCTTCCTGCTGGATTGATTATTTTCAGCTGTTAACATCCTGAAGGATGTTGCTACTAACTGGCATGACCCTAAATTGATTTTAACAGACCTGTGTGTCCAAAATAAAATAGGCTTGGTCACATTGCCTTCCTGCCACCAAAAAGCAAACATTTTGGGGGCTAAATTTGCATGTTTCCTTGAGCGAAGTGAACAGCTCTACTGACAACGGAATTCGAACATTCTGTCTTTATATGACTGTCTAAGGAAAAGCACAAATACGTGAGCTGATGTAGGACACCTAACTGATCTATGTCAATAGCTTGCAAAGGGGAATAACAGGGTTCTATCCTCCTGCAAATGAGGTATTCTAAAAACACGTGCAAACATCTACATTTACAGTAAACAAAATAGGTACATAAATCTCTCAAGCATCAATGACTTCCAAGTGTTTATAGGGTGCGTGTCTCCTTATGCCACACTGAAGTATTTTCATTGCTCGAATGAAGAATATAGCATATCCAAATAGATGTCTCGGGTCAGATTCATGGCATCACGAACAGTCAGGCGGCCATGGAAGAACATTTTCCCAGAACAGACACACCACAGTCCAAGCAACCAACGGGAAACTCCCAACACGCAGCTCAGTTACATTTACACTCTTTGCTCAAGGAAAAGAAGACGACATCAGTGGGCATGTCATTACCTGTGTTAGTTGTGAACTCAAACGGTCCACTGAAGTCTCCATATCCTGCTGCTGTCCTGGCCCGCACGTGAAATACGTATGAAGTCAGAGGGTTCAAGCCTTTGATGTCAGTATTCCTGGAGGCTGTCTTCACAATGCGATAGCTGCGCTCATTTTGGTCCTAACAACAAAAGAACACAGAACACAGTGGTGATCAGGTAAAAATGCCTCAGTGCACCGTGAACCGTGGAACCCCCCTTCCTTGCCAAAACTGTCATGATGAAAGAAGATGAGTAACAACGATGGAATTCTCAAAATACGTCCCGAGGCTCCTGCTGTCGGCCTTGCTCAATACCCCTAGCACTGCGTGCTACACAGAGCTCTGAGCAAGCCAAAAAAGGATGATGAGGCGGTAGGTATGATGCTCATATATCACTGATTATTTAAGAAATCACACAACAAAATCCTCTGGAAAATAGCCAAGCCTTCAAATAGGATCCTCTTGATGAACAAGCAACATTTTACTCACACATGCTGGCACTTTCTTTTCTTCTTACCAGCCAGGAGCCATATAAAAGAAATGATAAAAATATTTTAAGAAAGAAAAGACTCAGAAAATGTCTTCCAGAAAGTCCATTCTTAAAACCTGTTCTATTTGTGGCTGAAAAATCCATCAGAAAATTTAATAATCTAGCTTCCCTGCAAATCAGATGCCTTTTTCTGTATGTGTTAGGGAAGCAAATAAGTGATTATATTTATAAAAAAAATTTAGAAGCATGCATGTGCGTGTGAGAGAGACTGCACACAAGCAAGAGCAGGTAATTGCTCATTTGTGCAGAGAACCTTCGAAGAAAATAGCTGTTTTCATAGTTTCATACTTGAGAAGTTATTTGTAGGAATAACATCTCCCTCTAACTTGGAAAGTATGAAGAATGTGATTTTCTTTCCTTATTCTCTATTAAAAGCCATCCAGCCCACACCATCACTCTAAGCAGAAGCTATCGGCAAACAGATCTTATTATTATTACTGTGTTATATACGTCATTATTATACTTCTATCTATGAAATAAAGCTGATGTCTCACTTCTGCCCAATATTATTGATTCTCATTATAAATATGCTTGCTACAAAAGCTTAGTTCCTAGGTAGGAAAAAATAACAAAATAAACTCGTACCATACAGCTGGAACAGCCTATGAGTCTTATTCTTTCAAGCAACCATTCAAGTGCATGAAATCCTTAATTGGATTTTGTTAAACGGAATCTATTTGGTTTCAAATGATGGAATCCTATCTGGAAACAAACCATAATGGAATGAAGTAAAAAGCTCTCCCCAAACCCAAACAAAACTCCTTGCTTGTCCATTTTTGAGCAGTACCTTTTCATAGTATTTGACTTCATACTCAAGGATGACTCCATTTGGCCTGTCAGGTTCCAGCCAAGCCAAGGCAACGCTGTGCCTTGTTATCTCTTTAGCCTGGATCAAAGCAATTGGGGACGGAGCTGCCGGAAGAAAAAAAAAAAATACAACCAATAATTTAGTTTTAATGAGGAACATATATTTTTAATCATAGCTTTCACAACATGAGCACTTTCAGAAATGGTGTTTTTCTTGCAGGAGGGGAGGTTAGAACATTAAGTATTTTTCCTGTTTTCTCTAACAAAATTGCCTTTAATCCTCTCTAATAAAGCTTGTTCTTGGATTCTGGGCAAGAGTAGATACATGGGTTTTGAAGTTGTCTAAACACTGCAATGTTCATGACGCCCAGGTACAAACCTGCATAAAAGGCTAAGGTACTAAAGGATTCTGTCTTATTTTTGTCATTTGTTAGGTACAGTGCATGGACTTGTACTTTTCTTTTGGCTCACAGTGATGCACTTCTTCCATCTCCTAAAATTAACTGACGTTACTCCATTAGCTATTTGCTTTACAGGAACCATGAAATTCCTGAGGGACCAATCTGGTTTTCTCTAAAGCTGAGAAAATATTGCCACTGAATTAAGTAAGACCAGAATAAAGCTGAATATATATGAATTTGGACCCTCCCATGAAAACCAGGAAACTTGTATTTCAAGAGTCTGAGCCAATTTGTGCTTCCTAACTTGCCCTGCTTACGCCCAAGTATGTGAGCAGTCCCTGGAAAATGGGGAAGCTCAGTGCCCAAGGGCCAGATTCTGGCTTTGATAGCTCCTTCCCAGCCAGAAGATATCAGAGATTGGTCCATTGTGTACCAAACTGGTATCATCTGACCCTGTCCCATGTGGCACTATATTGATGCGATGCACAGAAAAAGCAGGATTACACTGCCAAGGGTAAGGGCTGCGTGATTTTTGGAAAAACTCTACCTAGCAACAAGCTAAACTGAAAGATCCTTTAAACTGTATCTGTGTGCAGTAAGAAGGGCTGCAATGAAGAAGATAATGGAAAACATCTCATCGTGCACCCCACACTTTCAATAGAGCCCCTGCTAATGTTGAAGTTCAGGTTTTTGACTGGCTGGAGGACAAAGCATTCTCCCTTTGACTGTGATAGCAGCAGATTCATGGCTGCGCTGGGGGAACGGGTTTTCTGAAGATTTATGAACCCGGCTGCCCCTTTCTTGCTGTTGTGTTGCTGTGTGGTCACGTCTCTAGCCAGCTGCTATCAAGCTCTTTTGATGCTGACAATAGCTGGTATAAATGGTGGAGTCTCCAGGGATAAAAAGGGACATTCATGAAATTTTTAATCTTATCTAACAAAGCTGTCCTGTATAACCAGAGATTAGAGGTCTTCCTAAATTGAATATATTTCGTCTTTTGTCCCCTGAAGCTGTAGCCATGTTGCTCTTTTTTTCCCCCTTTTCCCTTTCTTTTTGTTTCTTTTTCTACCCTTAACTTTGGGATGACGATCCATGAAAATGTTAGGGAGTAAAAAGTATCCTTGAAACATGTACCCTTGAAAACTACCAAGAAAGACAAACAAATAAAACAGTCACAATAAATGAAAGGAAAATTGAATGTTGAAAGCCTCAAACCTACTTGACCATATCAGACAGTTCTGATGGAAGTGAAAACAACCAGTAGATGCCGCACAGTCACAAAAGGGTGTCTCCTCTTGATGTGAAACCATCAGGGAGCTGCTTCCCGATTTACTATTTGACAGTTTGGCATCTCTGTTAGAAATGCCTCCAGAACCTTTCTCTCTTTTTCCTTGTCTGTCTCTCACATGCAAAGGCAAATACTGGATGACAGAGGAGACTATAAACACAGCCAACAGGGAGGATCCAGGTGTGCTCCATCAAGTTGTATCTGTGGCATGACCGAGAACCTGCTTAATAACCTCACAGTTCCTCAACAGAGAATCAGGCTTTTTTTTCTTCCCCTTTGCAGTAAGAATACTGCTCAGCTAATAAATTAGAAATCACATTTGTTACCCTAAAACACACACACACGCGACATTGCTGATAAACCGATCGGAGAGAAATCTGCCTAGTTACTCGGTGCCTCATGCAGGGCAGACAGGCAATTCTTTTTACTGAGAATCTGTCACTTATGCTGGTCTGACCTCAAGAATTGTGGAGAGAAAGTTCACTTTCTTTCCTTTATCTTCTTTTTAACCTCCTTGGTTTCCCATTTCATTTCTGCAGGCATTTATATTGGAATTTAGTGAGTCCTTCAATATTGGGCTGGTAAGTGCTCCATGAAAACGCATTTCTTCTCTGTTGTAAAATGGCTATTTGCAGCAGAAGAATATATATTAACTACCCCTTCTTGTGAAAGATGCTTAGCTTTATATAGCTTAACAAGTGCTTTCTCATGTCTCTCGAAAATGGACAGCTGATCTTAGGCACTACACCATACTGGAATAAACAACCTGCTCCCGGCCTCCAGGACACAAAGAGGACTTGTACATCAATTCCTTTGTTACTCCTTATGATTACAATTGTAAGAATGGCCCTATTTTTCCTTCCTGTCCTTTATATGCAAATTCATCCTACTTAACTTTTAATCTCTTCTTTTGTCCTGTATTCTGCAGATGAGCAATTTGTTTCTGAGTTTTTTAGTTTTGACTGTACATCCTGCCTCTCCATATGCTATACAGAAATCCTAAGAGTGCTGAAGTCCAACTACAGGATGAAGTACCAGAATTACAAGAGACTGTCCAGGAGCTCTTTGACATCTCTGCAGCACAGACCTGAAATGGTCTATGCAATAGGATGGTGTTCTGCAACTCTGTGGACCTTGAGGAACCGGGCTCAGTAACTACAGGGAGTACTACAGTTATCCCAGGATCCACCAGCTGACCTGAGTAGTTGAAAGACTGGGCTTCTGGAAAAACAACAGGTCTGGGTCTCCTTGGACATATATTACCAAAAAGGCGTAAGAATTCGGTCAGTAGAGTCTGGGACAAAGAGGACATCACCACTGCCGGCTCATCATGGCAATCCAGGCAGCAGTCACAGCCTTCTGGGTGAGCTTCTGCAAAATATTTACATTCTTTGTTCTTCTCCCTTTTGCCTTTAAACTGCCTCTTACGGATGATGTGAAGATAAACATGTAACAGGTTGTAAAATGATGCTTTGATCATGAGCAGAATAAAAGACAGAATCTTCTCTTGTATGTGCGTGGGCTAACTATTCATTATATACACACATTCCTACACAAAACATACTGAGGACAGCTTGACCAAAAAGAATAATGTACACAATTAAGATGTTCGCAATAAGATCACATAATACTTTTGGAAGAGAGTGGGAGATCACTTTTTGCACTTTCCTCCTCCCTGCTCCCTGCTATTTGGAAAGGAACACTACGCAAAAACTTGTTTCGCAATCATCATTGCTTACAACAGCAAGTTTTTCTGCCACACGTGCATAGACTGTACATATAACCACCAGAACGGCCCATTTCACAGGGAAGAACGATGAGGTATTTTGGCGTCTAAAAAGGGGTCCCATTGAACAAAAGCACCAAGTGTAACTTTCCCTAGTTCAAAGCTCAGCAGTTCCTCTCCTTTAAAAACCCCACTCCCTACTGATGTGAATGTTGCAATTTTCTTTTATCTACTTCCTCAATAACCTGCCATTAAACACCTACTAGTAGTTTTATTACTGCGGTTCTGAGCTTGTGGCCTACAGAGAGAGACAGAGCACAGATGTACTACAAAAACTTCACCCAAATGCCATAAAGCCATATCCCAAGGCTAATAAGTGCTGAATTGTAACAGTTTCGAGGCACTTTAAAGGATGGCAGAAGCAGAGTGTCAGTTTTTCATTACTGGTTCGAATTAGGAGAGGGGGGGAGAGGAAGAAAACAGGAAATAAATAGATGCAATAAAGTCTCTGGCATGTAGGCATCCATGAGTGAAAACAGCCCTTTATAAAACTACAACACATGAGTACTCAGATATCAAAGATACACAATGCCCAGTGTTTTAGTGAAGATGCCTTCTTAACCACAGCAGGGTTTACTTTCCACTCCCCATGATTTGAATTTAAATGGATCATGTTTACTCAAGGGGTCTTCCACTGATTGAAAAATATACCCACAGTTTGTACATTATCTCAGCTAAATTCAAATAACATATTTAAATTTAATTACTTGAAGCTTAGGGGTTTTCATGCTTTTCTTTTTCCCCTCAATTGCACACAACAACACTTATTTGTTCTTATCAATGGCTATGTGCTTTGTCAAGCATCAAAATTAAATGCTTGAAAGCACTAATGATGTTACTGTGATTAAGGGTTTTTACCTTCCAGGGTAGATACTAAAAGCCTGCTCCATTATTAATTACTTAAAAAAAAAAAAAAAAATTTCTGAGAATCTAACACTGAAGAAAAGTCCTCTTAGAAATCAAAACAAGACAATAAAAGATCTTCTCTTAATGGGGACAAAACACATTTAAGGGAACCTGGCACATTTCAGGTTTTCTCTTTGAATATTTACCTTGTAATATTGCGGGTTTTTACATGGGATTTTGTAAATTATATTATCAAATAATCTCACAGCAGGAAATGGATATATAACACAGAGAATCAAATACGTTTTTAATCATTTCTAAAGGCAACATCCTCCAGGCCAGATTCTTGTAATTTTATTCATGTACGAGAGCCACTTACTCTACTAGCTGTCGCACTGACTTCAAATCAAGCAAAGGGAGAAGTACCCAGCCCTATTTAGTTACATGTACCAGAATAAATTAAAAATAAAGCAGTTCTGCTCTTTCCTAAAATGTTGGTGTTCAGTTCTGCTTCCCTTGGGCCTTTTACCCACTCCCCTCTCTTGTCCTGGCAGAAATGCTCCTGTTTCTGAGCAACACAATGACCCCTGTGCTCCCAGTACTCCTGGCAAATGGCTTTGGAAACACAGGAGAATGCATTTTAGCATGACCAAATTTCCAAACATATGCATAGCATATGTATAAGCCATGTATGTACGTAACGATAAGCACATGAAAGGCTTTCGCACGTGCGAACCTATGTGCACACACAGATTTGATGTCTGTGCACGTCTGAAGAACTGAG